TTTCCACTTCTTGGCTATTACTAACAATGCTGGAAGCAAGATTCTTGATTCTTGTGTTAGTCCTTTGTGAGTTTATGTGGCAATCTTGCTGGAAATCCTTTGAGAGTGTTTGGAATCTAATAACTGTGTTCCCAAAGTGGCTAAATTGTGGATATTGCTAGAGGCTCTTTGTTGGCTCTTCTGTGTCTCCTGAAGAAACTACTCAGCAACCTGTGGCTGCTATGGCCTGGGGACCCTGGATTGTATTCATGAGGAGAAAGATCTTATGCTGTGAAACTGTTCCTGGGAGGTGATTTTGAATAGTCTCAAGGAAAGGTTTCAACACTTCCTAAGAAGCCCAGCTTGACCTGTTGGGTTTCCCTGTGTTTCAGATCAGTTCTGAGCCGCTGACTGGCTTGCCATCACACAAAGGCGAGTTGGTGGTTTCATTGAAATACATCCCAGCCTCCAAACTCCCTGTTGGAGGTGACCGGAAAAAGAGTGAGTTTTCTTTGGGGCCCTGGATTGAGCTGTTAGTCATCTTCACAGGATGTATGTGAGGCCGGTGCTAGCTTTTGCTTAGCACTGTTAGAGAGAACGAACTGAGATGCTCCCTGGGTCTTCTGGGGACTATTCCTTTCCTAAGTAAGCCTTTTTTGTATCTTTGTACCAAAAGGGAATACCTTAGGCCTGGCTTTTTTTTTTTTTTTTTTAAGGCTATTTAACTGAACTTTGTTTTGGTTCAGGTGTGGCAAGCAAGCTATTAAAAAGAAGAGAAGAGAAATTTTGTGGCTGAGAAGGGTAGATGGAAGGGGTAGTAAAGTATGAAGGGCAGGAAATTGAGGGCTGAGAAGAGTAATTTATTATGTGATGTTTGTGACTAGGGATATGTAGATGGATAAGAAATGACATTTACCTTCCCTCGAGGAGCTTAGTTTAGCAAGAAAGAGTTGTGTGTTAAGGGAACACAAATATGGGCGTGGTGAATTCTGTCTGGTTACATTTGAGAGAGCTTTGAAGAGGAAGTAACATTGAAATTGGACCTGAAGACTTTGAAAGGCATGGTAAACGTGTGTTTGTATGTGAGTATGGAATATTGAACCCCTTATTTCAGTGGGACTGAAGTTAAGTTATATAAGGGAGTCTTCAGAAAGGTCATGGAAAATGCATATTATGAAAAAAAAAACTATGCATGGATTTCAGTTTTTTTGTTTCCACCAAAATAAACTCATACTTTAATTCTATTTTTCCATGGACTTTCAGAAGCTCCCTTATATGTGGGAGTAGGGCTAGAATTCCAGATGAGGCTAGAACCCGACTGCAAAGGGCCTCAAGTGTAATCATAAGGAGTTTAATTTGATCAGTTGGCAAGAGGAAGTACATTTAGCAAGGTCTAATCTAAAGGATTTGGGGAATCAATGAAATCCCTAGGAGGGTATGTAGAGTGACTGGAGAAGAGAGGAAGGATAGAACCATAAGGAGCAGCAGTGTTTTAATGGATGAAGAAAGAAGTCCCAGTGAGGTAGCAGGTTATCAGGAGAGAGAGAAATGCCAGGAGAGAGCTTTAAGCAGAAGCGGGCAGGGTTGTAAATAGTACTGAAATACTTCAGGAAGGTCAGACTGGATGAAAACTGAGAAGACATGGCTCATTGGCATCAGATTGCATTTTTAGTGGTTAGTGGAAGCAGAAGTCAGATTTTACTAGAAACTAGGCTGAGTGAATGAGGCAAAGAAATAGAGGAAGTGAATGTAGACTTCAGGATAATTGATGGTGAAACAGAGGAGACCCACAGAGATTAGCTTGAAGAGATCAAATTGAAGGGACATTTTCTTTTTAAATGATTTTTTTTTAAGAAAAGGAAATGGTAAGATTAGCATATATTTAGACTGAGTACAAAGGACCAATGGACAGAGAGATATTAAAAATGTGAGGTAGGGATTGAAACCCCCACCCGATGATGCCTGACAAGTTTTATGAAGATGGACAGAATCAAGAACTCAAGTGGAGGTGTTCCCTCTTTTTAAATCTTTCAACAAATATCAGACAATTTAACTTCTCTGAGCCTCACTTTTCTCTATAAAATGAGAATACTAGTGTGTATCTTATAGGGTTGTTTTCAGAATTCAATGCCTAACATAGTGTCTGGCTCATAGTTCATTTTCAGTAAGCATTTATTGTTACTGTGGTTGTTATTAACTGAGCACTTATTGTTTACTGTTGGGCAAGGTGCTAGGGACTTGAGGATACAAATCAGACATGGTTCAGTTGTTATGGAGCTTGCTGTCTTCAGGATCTAGGGAAGGAAGTGCTGTGTAGATAAAATTCAGGAGAAATCTGGAGGTATAGGGGCTCACATGCTCTGGATGACATCCCTTACAGGTAAAGGTGGGGAAGGGGGAGAGCTCCAGGTGTGGATCAAAGAAGCCAAGAACCTGACGGCTGCCAAATCAGGAGGGACTTCAGACAGCTTTGTCAAGGGGTGAGTCCCTGGACCAGCACTGAACTAACCAGTTTCAGGACAAGAAAGCTAAGAGAGGAACTCAATTTAACCTTTCTCTAGAGATAGTATCCTTGTATGTCCTACCACCTCCAGAAACAACTTCGTTCCTGAAATGAGATCATGGCAAAATCTCCACCACCACCTTTGCACTAATCTGAGCTCAATTTGGACTGGGCTGTGATGCTGTTATCCAAAGGAGGGTGGTAGACAGATAGGTTCTGATTTTTCTCTGATTCACGCTCTTAATTAATCCTGGGCAAAAATCTGTGTCCTCTGCTTGTCTAGATTTGGGAATACAAGGCTCTGCTCACCACATTTTTTTTTTTTTTAGTTTTGCTATAGGGCGCGCATGTGCATGCATGTGAGAGAGAGAGAGAGAGAGAGAGAAAGAAATAACTCCCCAGAGGGGATGGTTGTGCTGCAGTCCCTTCTCAAGTCTCCTTTCAGGATTTTGGGCATGCACACACATGTGCTCGGCATGATTTTCAAGCCATTGGGTTCAGGACTCAAACTGCAAAATTGGCCGTGTGTGATTTAGCTGCCTTAACCTCTATGCTACCTGTTGCCCCAAAAAAACCCCCCCCCCAGTTTTTTAAAGACAAGATTTCACCATGTCATGATCCCCCTGCCTCACCCTCCTAGTTGGGATTACAAGCACACACCTGGCCTTTAGGTTGGACTGAGATTGAGACCTGGGGCCTCCAAAATTTTTAAGCAATGCTAGATTTTCCCAAATTATAGATCATCCACTCTCTTAAGTTCTTTAGCAAATTATGTTTGGCTAAGCCTACAGATACTACGATTGGTTTTATTTATTTTTATTTATTTATTTTTTAGATTTTTGCTACAGGGTGTGTGTGCTTGTTGGAGATACAGAGAGGGACAGAAAGCAAGAAATCATCCCCCAGGGGGGATGGTCACGCCACAATCCCTTCTCCTCCCTTTTCCTCTCATGATTTCAGGCATGTGCACACATGTGCCCAGTTTGAGTTTTAAGCCACCAGGTTCAGGACTCGAACCATGGTTGACTATGTGGGAGTCCAGTGACATAACCATTACACCATCTGCTGGTCCACACTATTGGTTTTATTTCCCCACTATTGGTTTTATTTAAGGAGCACTTGCCTGGTAGAAAGAGAACCAAATATTTAAAACTCATTTTTGGTGGAGCACAGACAATAGCCTTACTAACACTATTATGTTCATTCTCTCTCCAGGTTAAAGGAGTTGAATCAGGTGAATGATCTAGTGAAGTAGTAGGAACTGCTTCAGCAGAGTCAAAGGGGGGTGTGTGTGTCCACTAGGATGTGGGTGTCAACCCACCTTTCTGGGCTGGGCCTGTGGTAGGGGTAAGGGGAATTTAGGCAGACATTGCCAGCTTTGAGTAGGCTGTTGACTACTCCCCACCCTCTGCCAGATACCTCCTTCCTATGAGGAACAAGGCCAGTAAGCGTAAAACTCCTGTGATGAAGAAGACCCTGAATCCCCACTACAATCATACATTTGTCTACAATGGTGTGAGGCTGGAAGATCTACAGCACTTGTGCCTGGAACTGACTGTGTGGGACCGAGAGCCCCTGGCCAGCAATGACTTCCTGGGAGGGGTCAGGCTGGGTGTTGGCACTGGTGAGAGCCTCTCCCCCATCCTCACTTGTAACAACCTATGATCCATTTTATTCCCAATACCCTCTCCCTGTTACACACACAAAGCTCTTCTGAGACAAGAGTTGTCTTCTTTCCTTTCAGTTAACATTTGACAAATATTTATTGCATGCCTACTATGTGCCAGGTCCATGGAAAGGCTGAGCTTATGCTCTATAATGTGTACAGATAAATGTGCCCCTGATTGCCAGGAACTCCATCATTTTCCTACCAAAAAAAGTCTACAAACCTACCCATATATGCGTACCTGTAATTTCCATCTTCCATCCTGTCATAGTAAAAGAAGGATTCTTGCTAGCAAAGGACAGCCTTTTCCAGCAATGTTCTAAACCACCTTCTGCCCTTCTCAGTGATCTCACTTCTGTAATCATCTCTCCTACATGATCAGTTTCATTCTTCCTACCCACCAGAGGTAAAAACAGGTGGAAGTATTTCCAATCTCATTAAACAAAAATAAACCTTCCCTTGACTACACAGCACCGTCTAATTTTTAAAATAAGAGTAGTCTCTTCGTCCCTACCTTCCTGTTAGTTCTCAATCTAGTGTGATCTGGCTTCTGTCCCAACATTCTGCTGAGCAGTGGCTCAAGCCAACATGTTCTCATCTCATTAGAATTTTTAGCACTATTTAACATGGTGTGGCCACTCCCCTTTTCTTGAAATACTTAGCTTCAATTGACACTACACTTCTATTGACACCTCTCTGTTTCCCATTTAAGTCACTGCTCACCCCTTCTCAGTTTCATTTGTGGGTTCCTCATTCTGTACTGAACCTTAAAATGTTGGTGCTTCTCAGGGCTTAATCTTAGATCCCCTTCTTTTCTCTTTCCACAGTTTCTACATTCTCTTCTTTTTCTTTCTTTCTTTTTTTTTTTTTTTTTTTTTTTTGTTCAACATATCCCCCTGCATTTGCCAGAAAGACTGAGAGAGACAGAGAGACAGAAAGTGAGAAATCATCCCCCAGGGGGTATGGCCAACCGCAATCCCTTCTCCTCCATTCTCCTCTCAGGATCTTGGGCAAGCATGCACACACGCCTGGTATGAGTTTAAGCCACTGGGTCCGGGATGCGAACTGTGGTCAGCTAAATGGGAGTCTAGTGACATAGCCATTACGCTAACTGCTGGTCCCTACAGTTTCTACATTCTAATGGCTCTAAATACCACTCCTACTTCACACAAAGCATTTAACACAAAGCATCTACAGTGCTCTTTTTTCTTTTCCTTTTCCTTTTTTTTTTTTTTTTTTTTTTTTGTGAGAGCGGGGTTTTTGCTATAGGGGGTC